GGAATGAAAAGGATCTTGTCCTGGTGCAAGGTTATTGATTTACTGGGTGCCAAGTGGCCATGGTGGTTTTTATTAGGGTACATCACCGTTTCTGCCCACAGTCACTTTAAGCTCTTTTCCTCCCTCCTCATAATTCAGACTTCCCACTCACCTGCAGTGCTTTAAATGAGAACAGTGTAGAAAGGGCTCAAAACATCTGACACCTCTTTGCACAGACGTGAGGCCATCACCAAGTGGTTGCAAGTCAAGCTAGTCAAGTGGAGCAACTTGGCTCCCGGTTTTTCCCTGTTTTCATTCTAGTTTCCAAACCAACAATGCTTCCCTGTGCAAAAAAATAGCAATGCAGTAGATTTTAACTTATGTTCCAAGGGAGGAAAATCAGGTGATCTCATCTCAGAACAGATTTTTATTCCCCTCCCTTTTTAACAGAAGGGCTATTAAGAAAACTAATAAAAAACCGCAGCCCTATTGTGCTAAGATACGCATCTAACGAACAGTTCTCAACCCAAAGCACTGTTTGTGTGTACATTTTAATTCTGTTCCTGCAGAGCCTGGTGAAACAATAAAGCGGTTTTGACAGGCCTGGCCCTTTGCACATAAAACCTTTTTGTGCTTCATCCAGTTCAGTGACTCACTGACTCAAAGCTGAAAAAGAACAGCAGGAAAGCCTGTTTTTCCCTCTGTCCACATAGGAATCAAAGCGTCAGGAGAGGGGTGGGCCTTGTGCTGCTTCTGAAGCACATTTTAGGAGGGCATTGTAATCAAAAAATACTCAATTCGGCTCATTTACTGCAGCTGGCACTTGCTTCTAATAATAAAAGTTCAGAAGACACTGGTGTGGGAGACAGAAATGCCACCAGTTGTGTTTCCTGCCAAATCTTGATAAAATTGTGATTATGTTTAGCACAATCACTGCAGTAGCTCTTAGGCTTTGGCCACCAGTTAGTGCTGGAGGAGGAGGACAACATCTTGACCGCTCATCCAGTGCCACTTCAGCAGCTCTTTTCTTGCTGCCTCCTCCTCTCTCCATGTGCAGATGTACCTGGCGCTGTGGATGAGCAGTAATGCTGCAGTCCAGCTATTCCTCCAGAGAAACAGCAGCAGCAGCAGAAGAAAAGCACATTTTACACTTGGATCTGAAAGACTAGAGTGTCTTACTGCGGGTTTCGGGGTGTTAACAGCACCAGACAGGCGCCAGGTTGACCAAGCTAATCCTTGCTCTGCATTTCAGACATTAAAGTGAATGATGGGAGCAGTAGGTTCAACACCATGAGGAAGCTGCTCCTGGTCGAAGTCCTACCTTGGTTTTACAGTCTCTGCTGTAAAAGCTGCGTTATTTCAAACGTGCTAAGTGGATGTTTCTAATTTGCTGCCTCCCACGGAGACTGATGAGATTCAACCTCTCTCTGGATTATTACCTGATTACGAGAAACTGCTCTGTTCTTGTTTTATGGAGTCGCAGCATTTCTGCCTGCAACAGCTTTTCACTGCAGCTTATTTCCTTAGAATCCTCCTCTCTTTTTGGCCCGAATTGTGCTAAGAGCCTTAGCTTACAGGATAGTCTCTATCCCCTCTAGCCGAGTTTCTCCTTGCACTTTAGATTAGGAACCATCTGTTTTGTAGGACATCTAAGCTAACATGGCTTTTGTGCATGGCTGGGGCTCCAAAGGGCTGCTGAAGATCCAGGTCCCTCTCATGCTCCTGTGGTCTTTGCAGAGGTCACTGCATCTTGTCAACCCTGCAGCAGGGACCATGAGTTAAGGCTGGTCTAACTGTCCTCATAAGGATTGTCCGCTTTGCAGAGGAGTAACTCAGTGGACTAGAAAACAATAAATTAGTTTACTGAAACTGGAATATTAAAATATTTAACTTGTTTCCTTTAATGTAAGTCATTCTGCAATATCCTAAAAGAATACCACTTTAGGCAAATTTAAATGAAAAAAATCATTAATATACACCCTTTAAAGACTCGTCATATCATTTAATTCAACTTGAAATTCACCAGCACAGGTTCTAGGGATCACTGTGGATTTTTTTTGGTGAGAAAATTGCTAGAGATGCAGAGGTTTTGTGTCCCCATTGCCCTAGTTTGTAAAATACAGTCTAAAATGCTTCTAGTAAACAAAATTCTAATAATTCAAAAAGTTTCTTCTCATCAGCCTTTCCTCTTCTTAAAATCTCCCATTGTGGAGAGCATAGGATTGATAACGTCCCACCTGCACTTCATGGAGGTCCCTGAAGTACATACCACATCACATAACATAAGGTTATGTGAAAACATGTAGGTTATGTAACGTTATGCGATAACATGTTGTGTTAACATGCTGGTCTGGAGTATGGGTAGCATTAAAAAAAAAAAGTCCTGTTTTTAAAAGAACCATCGTGAAGAAGATGACGCAGCTTCGAAGGGGTTTGCTGCTGTGAAGCAGGAGGATGTCTATATCCGGCCGGGTTGTAGGGCACAGAGCAGTGTCGCTCAGTCCTGCCGCTCCCCTGGACGCCAGCCCAGCAGTTGCAGAGCACGGACAGCAGCAGGGATTGGCCCTATTCCCCCAAACAGCCCCAAATAATTAAGAGGAATTTCCGAAACTYGGGTGCATTTGCTTTCTTTCATTCAGGGCTGGCAAAATCAGAGGGCGCACGAGGCAGAGGCTGCCACTCTGCAGGATGCAGCAGGYGGATCGCAGGTAGCAAGTACATCCTGGTACCAGCAGTAATTCAGTAATTATTGTATTACTTTYGTTTTATTCTGTTTTGTTTTGTTTTATATTTTATTTCATTTCACTTTATCTTCCTTGCAGGTGTATAAAGCAAAATATGGTCTGGGACGTGCAGATGAAGAAAAACACATTCACAAAGCGAAGGCAGTTTCTTTGAATTTCTATATATGCTTTTGGAGCTATAGGTTATGAAGAGGGAGGAGCGCCTGTAAAACTGGGGCAAACATTAACCTGGAAATTATTACTTCAGAACAGAATTACTACTTCAGGACAGAAGCACTTTCATTTATGTGTGTGTTTTATTTATGCTCATGAGTATGATGACCAGCTTACCACCACAAGAATGATTTTTGCATATGCAGTGATGGTAACTGCCAGCATAGGTGGTGGGTATTGTTGGAACAAAGGAGAAAAAAAGGAAAAAAAAAAAAGAGGAAATACTGGATTAAGTGCCTGGAACATGCAGTAAATGTTCCAGGTGCAGCCCAGCCCAGGGCAGGGGACGCCCAGGGCACGTCCAGATAGATCTGAGAAAATGGGAGTTTTACAACGTGGAGGGCAAGTCACGCCACCTTCCAGTTCCAGTTATTTCCTCTTAGGCTTTTCCCTGTCTCGCCTTTACCACGGTCTGCCTCCTGGCTGCCGGAGGGGATGTCCTGCCATCCCATGCAAATGGTGCTCAGAGCAGAGGACATGCTCCAGTGCAGAACCACGAGGGTTGAGGCTGGAAGGGACCCCTAGAGCTCATCTAGTCCAACCCCTGCTCCAGCAGGGACACCCAGAGCACCGGGCACAGGGCGGCATCCAGGTGCGTTGGGAAGATCTCCAGAGRAGGAGACTCCACAACCTCCCTGGGCAGCCTGTGCCAGGGCTCGGGCACCCTCGCAGCCAAGAGGTTGTCCTCGTATTTGGGCGGACTGTCCCGTCTTTCAGTCTATGGCTCTTGTCCTGCCCCTGGCYGCCCCCAAGCAGAGCCTGGCCCCATCCTGCTGCCACCTCCCTCAGGACACCCRCTGGTGCGATGCCCTCCGGGCCTCTCTTCAGCAGGCGGAGCAGCCCCCGCTCCCTCAGCCTCTCCTCGCGGGAGCGGCACTCCAGCCCCTCATCGTGTTCACAGSCCTACGCAGGGCTCTGCCCGGTCGCTCCATGTCCCTCTCGTGCTGTTGAGCCCAGCGCTGCCCACAGGACTCCAGAGGTGGCCCTAGAGAGGGGCAGTTCCCAGTGGCTCCTGTTGCTTCGCTCCCAGTCCAGGGAGGCAACGCTCAAGTCTTCAGGCCGTCACTGAAAGACCAGAGCTTCATTTCCACCCTGGCGGGTGTTTTGTGCCAGCATCTCTGCAAAATGTCATCATCAGGGGCCCGCTGCTCCTTCCGAGCACTGAGAAGCTGGCTTGTTTTTTCTTTTCCTAATGGGATTAGCGAGTGCTGACGCAGAGCGGAGCTTCCTCGCAGGACCACTGGCTCCACAAACAACAGCACGGCCGGGGAGCTCCTGCGTCCGCAGAGGCCTCGTGCCTGGGGCTCTCCAGGACACACGACAGTGACAGAACAGCCCCCAGCTTTGCAGACTGCCGTGGGCACGAAATTGTCCGCAGATACTTCAATGGTCAGTGTTTTGTGCAATGCCTCCGCCCTCAGCTTTCGCTTTCCTTAACAAGAGCCATTTTAAGCCCAGCTGCGTCAGTCAGCGAGCTCTGCTAGAGATATTCTGAGCTATGGAGGCAGCCTTGCAACCTTGCAATGCAGAATATGTGCAAAGGCAGTGCACACCCCTGGGTCCCATTTGGGACAACAAAATGTGTGCCACTAGGTGACATGAATCACGGTGATCCAACTGAGTGAGGTGATCCCGTCCGGGAGGGGGACTCGAACTCGCGGTAAGAACGCAGCGCCTCTCCCCCCCCCGCGCCCCGAAGGGTCCCCTCTACCCAGGGACGCTCCCAGGGCCCCCGCCCCGCACCGCCCCTCCCCTTTGGGTCCCGCCCCTCCCCTCTGGGCCCCGCCCCCTGCCAGCGGCGCGCACCACTCGCCGCGCATGCCCAGAAGGAGTTCTCCCTCTCCCCGCTCTCTCCTATTGGATGGCGAGGCTGAGGTGCGTGTGCGCTGGTGAGGGAGGGTGGGCGGCGCATGCGCAAAGGGCAGTAGGCGGGGGGGCGCGTTTCCGGGCGCATGCGCCGCCGCGGGGCTGGGGAAAGGGGCGGTCTCGCGGGTGGCGGTTGGTGACGGTTGGTGACGGTTGGTGACCGTTGGCTGCTTGAACGGCCGGGGCGCACGGGGCGCCGCTCTCCCTTCAGCCCAACCTGCCTCGCCTGCGCTCGCCATGGAGGAGCAGAAGGTGAGTGCCGGCCGCGGCACAGGGCGGGCGGGCAGGAAGCCGCGGCGAGAGCGGCTTCCCCGCGGCCGCTGCCTCCCTCCCTCCCTCCACCGCGGCAGTTGAGCAGCCGCTGCCCGCAGTGGCCCCCGGAGAAGCTCCCTGCAGGGGCCGGTGTTCGCAGCTGGGGAAAGGGGACAACGGTTGAGGAAGCGAGGGTGCCACCGGCCGACTGGTTATTGCAATACGAGGAGGGCGACCGTGACGGGGAGATGCGGAGAGGTTGGAGAGCCACCTGGATGAATACTGAGTCTTGAGAAGTCCTGTCGCTTTGGGGGATGCTCGCTTCGTGCTTACAGTTGCTTAATAAAGTACAGCCCAGACATAGAGCTCTTTCACACTCTGTATTCCTGTCATAAGTAATTACAGAATATACATAGGCCTGTTTCCTATTCATGCAGAACTGAGCTGAAGAGAACTAATTAATGGAAGGTTTTTTGTTTGTTTGTTTTTTACCTTTTCTTTTCATGTAATTTCCTCCTTCCCTCACTTGCTGTCGACTCCGTTAGGGAAATCAGTAGCAGGGCTGCATTTGGTAAAGAGATTTCTTTTTTCCTTTTTTCTTTTTTTTTTTTTTTTAAGATAAAGCTTTTGCAAAAAAGTCTGACTCATTGTGCCTTTTTTTTTAGCTAGCGATCCAAAGCTACATTGATTGCTGTCTCCTTGAAGTCAATGCTTTTCTGTGCTTTGAAATAGTTTTGTGAGCAGTCTGGATAAATGGCATTGCTAATGTCTTGAAATGTATTGATCAGAGAAGTTAGTTGCTTAGTTTAGCATTTGTTACTGGCACTTCATCGTCTTCTATGTTTAGAAGGTGAGCTGTGAACTTTCCTGGGAGTGCTTCTCTAGTAGAAGCTATGTGAACTTGAAGCAGCCTGTGGCTGGTTGGCATGAACGGGATGGCTGCAGCTGTCACGTGGGTACTCTGCACGGATATTTCTCAGTGATATGATTGCACATAACTGAATTCCAGTGCTACTTGGAGGTTCTGAATACAGTAGGAAATCATTACTAATCATATAATTAACAGTGATTCTGCTGCTGGTTTGCTGCTGATCATGACTTTGCTAAAATGCTGTAGCTCTGTGATTGAACTTGGTACTCTCATCACTTGTTAATGTTAAAACTGGGGAGGTCTCAGATAAGTTTTTGGCCAATAATATGTCATGAATAAGAGCATGGAAGCTAGGGATGCCCTTGGAGCATGGTCACCTGTATTTTCTCATAAGTAATTTTTCAAATTCTGTCATTTTCAATATGGGAAGGAAATACAGAAGACTTAGAGACTAAGGATACCACTTTGTAAATATGGTCCGCTTGTATAAAAACTAATGTGGTCTAATTACTTGTTTGCCTTAGAAATTCAGATCTGCATGCAGTCATAAGATTGAAGAGTTTAAGTTGCTTCTTAACAAACAAAAATGATGTAATAGTTTAATTTATTGAAGTTTACTCTTTAACAATCGAGATGCCCAGCTGCTTCAACAGATGCTATAGGGCAATATAATGTTAATTGTTGGTTACTCAGGGAGGGGCTGTTTTCCTTTATGTTCTTGTCAAGACTGCTGTGCCACCACATGCTGCTGGGCTTTGTCCTTTCAGCTTCTTCAACCCTTGCAAATCAGCCCTGCTGCCTTACAAATGCTATGTATTTTTTTTTTTTATTTGAAAAAAGTTCTAGATTCTGAGAATAATAGRTACTGAAAACTGAAGAGCATTACTGTGCTGAGTATTAGGAGGAAATAGCTTAGACTTCAACTGCTGTGTGATAAACTTACCATAATATTTTGAAAATGAATTTAAAACTGATTTTTAGAACTTTCTTGAACACCTCGGAGGTCAATAGATATACTAGCCGAAGAGTATTGCCAGAGTTATTTATAATAGAATTCTTGTTAGTGTTTAACCAAGTAATACATTCATCAATGCAAAGWGAATTTAAATATCCTTAGGGAGATAAATACCAATGTTTTTTACTAAACATGATTCTCTAGTCATTGTCACATTATGTAATTTATTGTGTAAGGCTTAATTGCTCTATAGATATATAACTTTCCTAGTGTGCCTGTCATCGTACATAATTGCAATGAATTTTCAGAAATTCCGTTTATAAGAAATGTGGAACAATGCAGTGGCCTGAACTTATCGTATATATTGGTAATATTTGGAAAAGAATCTGTATATTACATTAGTGGTTCTTAAAAGCTGGCTTTCTATCGTAGTCTCATGTGGTTTAGTAGTTAATATGCTCTGTGTTGTTAGTGTTGGTAGATTTTTAGGCCTTTTTTCACCTGTTTATAGATGAGGTATGTTTATTGTAAAGTTGGATCAGACTTGAAGGTGGAATTCTTCTTTGGAGGTATTGATAGGTTGCTTAAAGCCTTTACTGATCTTTGACTAMTTGTTGAATTTGACATCAGATATTTTTCAGAAACTTGTTTGACAGTTGTTTCTAATTTCTGCCATATTTTAGACTGTTTGTTTGGAGACTGTCTGAATAATCTTCAAATGCAGACCTTTTCCTTTAGTCTTCCTTACTACTGAATAATCCTTTTCAGTTTTATAGCTGTGTACAACACTAATTTTTTCCACATGGTAGAACTGAGTAAGCCCTAAAATCCYAGTTGAAAGAGGATTGAGACTTTTCTTCTTCATCTAAATTGACAGTTATGTTTATAGGATCTAAGGCTTAACTGCAAGCTTTCTGACATGCAAAAACAATTACTTCTGGTCAGTTGTGAATGCAGAAGCAGCTGGTTAGACCATAACTTTTGTCCACGATACACTAGTGAATGAAATGCTATTTTAAACTTGTAAAATATTAACTAAACATTGAATGGATTCTAATTAAGCCTTCCAAATTAAGCCCCACTGTTTCAGAAAGATACCACTTGTTTGCCCTCCTAATGAGTCTTAGTTTCAGTTGTCACAAGCAATAGCACTGTTTCTTTTCATAGTGCTGTTGTTTCACAGTGCATGCTTGTAAAAGCAGTAAAACTTCACTTTCCTGTTGTCTCATATGTGAGCTAAAATGTTAACAGTTTGGAAACAGACAAGGGAATCAAAGAACTGATAAATACATCATAAGAGGTTTATTTAAAGACYGCTGATGAAGCGGCTAAAGAAAACAAGTTGAGGCATAGTTTAAGATTAGTGGTTAAATTCCCTGAGGTGGTATTAAGAGCAGTTGTAGATGCCTACATCTACACCTGTGAAAGTAAAGGCTCTTTCTTGCTCTTTAATAAACAAATGCTACTTAGTATTAAATGATTTCTTTTAAACTAACAAAAATTTTAGTTTGACTTGAGCTTTAGAATGCTTTTGGGGCCTTTTATATTCTTTTTTCTTGCAAGAACAAATTATAACTTGAATGTGTGTGATGGAGTTCTCCTACTGCTGTAAGAAAAAATCTGTGATACCTTCCATGTATGCTGAAATGATAATGGTTAAAATAGCCATGTTTCTTTTGTAACTTTTTGTCTTTGTAATTCTAGGAGACGCTGCAAAGGATTGTCTCTACTTTAGCAAACAAAAATGATGAAATTCACAACTTCATAGACATGCTGAACCATACAATAAAAAATGTTCAGGTACATACATAAACATGTATATGTTTAAATCTCAAGGTTACATCTGGGAGGGGAGGTAAACATCATGAAACTGAAAACTGGGAAGTTTTGCTTAGTTTACAAGAGGTGGGTTGTATTAATTGAGTTTAAAAATCATCATTTTGGAATCAGCTAGAAAAAAATCTTATTTTTGAAGCCTGTCTCCAATGTGATGGAATATGGTTTATTATTTTTTGGGTTTTTTTTTGTGTTGAAAAGATATGATACTAATTTCTTTGGTAGGCAAGGCCACAAATTCCTCTCAGTTGAAAGTAGTCTATTTTTTTAAAAGTACCATTCTATTTTGGTACATAGAAAAAGAGGACTATTCTGATGAGAACGGAACTAATGAGAATTCTTTGATATTTTCTTTTTTTTAATCATGTGCAGATTGTTGAGTGTATGTTAGTTATATCTGATTGTTGGAACTGTTCGTTCTGCTCCAGAACAAGGTCTATATGTTCTTTCTTTCGCTATCAGTGAGCAAGGTTCCCTATTGATGAGCAAAGACAACAGGATTTGCTGTCTTGTTAATGGTAAGCCAACTTACCATTGGAATGAAACTCATTCCACATACATTTCAGATGATTTCTTGAGTCTAGATTATACAAATGGAGTGTTGAATTAAGCCCTTTTCATGGAAGTGGATTACCTCTTTACAAGGATCTAGTAATGAAAGGGAAATTCATTACTAATGAATTTAATACCAAGGCCTTGTGGTATTAAAGCTGCCAAATAATTGCTCATGTGCGTCTATGTTTCACTGTCGGTCTTGCATAGATTTCAGTTGAAGTGTCCTATTGCCAAGTCAAGTTAGGAGGTGCCAGTAATTCTCAGTATTTTCTTTCCTCTGATAAACTGAGGCGTAATGAGAAGATAAAGTACATAGTCATGGTAAGGCGTGTTTAGGCGGACAGCATAATTTTCTGTCAAAAAGACCTATTGTATTTTAATATTGATTGCAACAATTTCATTTCTCTTAGGAAAACTCTTCTAATGTTATCTCTGAGTTGGATGAAGAATTTGATGGTCTGTATTCCATACTGGATGAGATGAAAGGAACTATGACGAACACTATTCAACAAGAAGAGGCTCGTAAAATTCAAGCTCTACAGGTAAATGCATAGCTAAAGGAAACTTTTGCAGCCAAATAAAAACATTTTTAAGCTGCTTATTTAAATCTTAACTGAAGGTGACTATTTTGGTTGTTTTTGCAAGAAATATGACTGTGGAAATGTGTATTTTAAGTATTTATGTGGTCCTTTTTGTTAGGGTAATTCATAATMCTTGCTTCTATTAACAATATGCAGAAAGAAAATAGTTTTATCCATTATTTACAGATGGAGAATGCTGCATAGGGGCAAACCTTGAGTTTACTACCATGATGCTAAAATAGCACCTGGACTGGATTTTTTTTTCTGCARTTCAGAGCAGGACAGCAGATGAACTTACATATTTATGTAATTTGCTAAGGCTTGGTCTTGAAGGCAGGAGTGAAATTGAGTATGATGAACACAAGGCCAGCATCCTATTAACAGAACTGATCATCTTCCACTTAGCATATGGAGACTTATATACACACTCTGGAAGATGCTGCATTCTTGGGAAAAATGTTACACTGCCATCTGCTACTAAACTTGTGTGAACTTCATTTTTGTGCCATTCCACTGGTTAATATAGGACAACTTTTTGCAGTAAGTTTAAGAGAAAAAAAATATGGCTGTGGGAAACAGGAGCAAGGTCGTAGTTGTCCCCCCGCCCCCGTAAGTTGTAACAAGTTAACTTTAGTTTTCAGAAAAACTAGAGTTCTTGCATGGAGCCCTAGGAAAATTTACATCTTTCAAACAGAGGCCATCTCTGTAGCTTATTTTCTTTTCATGGTACTGCTTGTATTCATCTTAGAGTGGAGTGTAGGAAATCAAGTTACATGTGATTCTTTTCACTTACACAAAGCAGTGAAGGTTTTCTTGAAAACTTCATGTTCCCTTAGTTTTCCTGTTATTTGATTAAAGAAGTTTTAGGAACTGCTTTGTAAAACAAGGTACCCTTTGAAGATTTTTTATTACCATACTTAAAGGTTATCTGTGTAAAACTTTCCAGAACTTCTGGGTGAATATTAAAACAGATTTAAGGTTTGTTTGTTTTGTAGTTTTATACTGAAATACTAGAGTGTTCTGAGTATTGCATGCAAGCCTTTGCGAGAATTCCTGTGAAGGAAGTTGCACAAACTCCTACTTCGTTAGTTAAGTAGTTAAGTTTATTTCRTGTTTTCCAGCTCTCTTCTAGCTGTACTATACAGTGTTTCTTTATAGAACCAACAGACTGACACATAGGATGTGCTCTGTGCCTGAAGTGTGTAAAGTGTGTACACTTGTAGATTAAGACTTGTCACTTCTCAAATTCTGTTCACAAATGGTCTCCTTTAGAACAGTTGTTCCTGCTGTAATTTTTCATCTATAGAACAGGACTGTGTTTGTTATCTGTAAAACAGGATGAAGTGTAGAGGAAGCTCCTGGAGCACAAAAGTATTTAGCTTAATAAAAAAAATCAAACAGCTTTACCAATTACAGGTTGTTATAGTTAGTCAGAAAAAATACCATAAGCTGCCTCATCTCTGGATAACTGCCCGTATTCTTGTTTAAAATATAGGTGATATGAGCATGCTTCTTTCATGCCTTTTGTCCCTCAGACTCTTCATTAGTTCATGACGTAAACTATAAGACTCGGGCAATTTTTTAGTCCTAGTACCTTATACCAGAAAAACTATGCCATGCGTTTGGATAGTTCAACATGCACTAACATAAGACAGTCATATTAAATACATATGTTAAAAGTACCCTTATTGAGATGTATGTAGATTATTTTTAATTCTATGCAGCTACCTTTAGCAGTCTCCAGTTTTGCAATATGCAGTTCATCTTACATATTTCATCTCTTGGTGTGATTTTTAGTATTAGTTTTCTTGTTAACTTCATCTTCTAGAAAATCTAATCATTCTTAATATCAGTTTATTTTAATTTAAATTTTTGGCTGTGTCTCCAAATCATCGAAAGTATCGTTATCTTTATACARTTGAGTGCTAAGATTCCTTTCAGTATGTCTTTAATTAAAAAAAGGTGTTTAAAACAAAATAATGCCTTTTGTATAATATCTGAATATTTATTAATTCTTGGACGGTTAACGCAAAAAAAGGTGTTGGAGCAAAACTAAATTTTTSAACTTATGGCATCCCATCTTGTAAGAGGAGAATGCTGTGGTCATGTCRTGTTAAGGTTGACACAAAATTTGTATTGCAACCATGAAATTAAAAAAAAAAACACCTCTGTATTCTGTGGAACATGTCACTGTTGAAGATCTTCATTAGTTATAATTTAATATATCCGTACTGAGGTATCTCTAATGTTTTTTGTTTAACTACCAGTTTGCACAACTGTTCGACTACCATTTTTTTCTTCTAGTTTATGTTCAGTTTCATTTTTCTACTTTTCATTTTCTTGTACTTTCTCTGTCTCAATTCTGTATACGTTTTAGATTCTTCCGGAATTTCTCAATTAGCAAACAGTCTGGTCTGTAGTGTACTGAGCAGGATAAATCCCTCCCCTAAATCTTGGAACAACCACTGTTGGTGTTTTGGTGGTGTGTGTGTGTGGTTGTTGTTTTTGCTTTGTTTTCTCTTGTAAGTGACAGTGTTTATTTCATTGCAAGTTTTTAATCCTGGACTTTCTTCTACCTGGGCTGATTTAGACAAATCTTGTGGCTGTCAATGTGAAATACAAATTAATTCTGCTAACCTTTCTAACCTTTCTATTGTTCTGCTTTGTCTCCAACTAAAGTTATTATAAGATGATCATTGCTTGTTCCTTATATCAGGTAGTGATGGATTGTTTCTGCTAGTATATCTGGCAGTACAGCAAGTCTTGCTGGTCTTTAGTAATACTAGTCTCTTATAGTTACATGTTGACAATTTTGAGTTCATATTGAGTTTTGCAATTTTTATGGGGGAATGCACCAGTTGTCATGGAAAAAATAGTGGTGGTAGGGGGTGAGTGTCACAATGCACTTCATTCATGTGAAAAATAATAATAGGTTTTATTGATAGAGACAATGGTTTCACAAAATTTTATGGTAAAGTCGCTTATTATTTACTGCATGGTGATTCAGGATACACACAGAATTATCAAGGACACCCTCCCATTGAGTCACGAGGGTCAGATTAGACCCCTTTTGCTTTCCAAGCTCCTTCCGAGAGGAGTGTGAGTGCAGCTGGATCCAATCCTAGTCCCACACCTGGTCAGTGGTTTATGACTAAGGGATTTTGTGCCCRGTTACATCAGTAGTGTTTACAATCTCAGAGAGCGAGCGTGCCGTAGTCTCTTACCACAAATCCGTTGTGGAAAGCATCTCCTCACTCTGAGGAGCCTCCTTGAGAGGTGTCCCTGCTAAAGGGAAGATCCTGACATGCAGCCCGCTGCCGTGCAAGGAGAGCTCAAGGGGCTCCTGGGCTTTCCCCATATTTATGGGATAAGATGATTGACTTGTAGTGCTCCTTTCATTTCAGAGAACTTTTGGCTGGTGTGTGCATCATTAGCCTTATCTCCCCATCAGGGTGCAGCCATCAGGGCTSTTATTGCTGGTTAATGTCTGAGTGGCGGAAGAAATCAGACAGAGACCCATGAGGATCAGATAATGTCACTGGTGGTTAACACCTGAATAGGGCAGTATGTGAAAAATAAGGCTGAGCTGAGAAAGGAGCATTTCTGTCACACCAGTTGTATATTGACTTACTAATTTCAGTATTTGGCGTATTCCTCCCCGAAACTGTGGTGCAAAACACTAACAGCTTAGAGCTGTTGGGACCTTCTGTTAAATGCCTGCAGCCTGAAATAGTTCTGTACCAGATGTGTGTACACATGTAGACAAGAGAATAGATTTCCAGAGTACCTACAGTTTGAGGAATACTTTCCRGTATAAAAAGAAGCATTGTCAGCTGCAGTTAAAGGGAACTCTTCCGGAGTGGTAAACTACTTCTTATAAGAGAACAAGCTAAAGGGTTTACTTCAGAAGTTGAGCAAGAATCCTTAGAAGTCTAGAAGAAAGGTTTAGGTGTTGAATGAGAGTCTAGATGTTTYGCTGTTGGAAATTCTTTCCAGAGTATGACTGGACTGATTGAAGCTTAAAGCAGAGGCTTACCCAGGTCCATGGAGACACACGAAACTAAAAGTCTTCAGAAATTAATACCTCTCACTGAACAACTCTCAGAGAAAATTGAGCTGTGAGTTGAATTAATTATTGTAAATCGTAGTCAAGAAAAGCTAATACTCATCTTTACAAGTTTTACCGGAAACCATTTTGATGCTCATATGGCTGTTTGGCTTGACTGTATTTGTTAGCTGAATTGATCTGTTTAGCATAACTCAAGTGTGATTGAATCAGATTGTGAAAGCTTATATGTTTAGTACTGCAGGATGAATTGCTGCCTGTTGTCTGTGGGATAGCTCAGCCAAACAACTAAGCTCTTTTTTAAAATCAGAAGAAGATGAAGGCAAGTGGAATGTTACAGATGACTGATGCAGTCGTTAAGAGCCCTACTTGTCTTTCAGTGGAATCTGGTATCTAACTGCATCCCCAAGGGACATTCTCTTGATGACAGAGCAAACTTCTTTTGGAATTGAGGCACTGAAGGATCTATGCAAAGAGTGCTTTTCATAACAGTGACTCAATCASACCAGACCAATAGATAACTGTTTTATTTGGTTTGGTTTTATCTAAACCCTCATTTTAGATCTGTTTGAAAGGAGAGGGTTTCCTTAGTTTAGTATCCCTTTAAAATGCTTGTGTTGAAGCTAGATTCTTCTTTAGCTGCAGAGAGAGAGCTTGAAAAATAGGGGCTGTATAATTCTTTAATGTTATAACTCTCTCCAAATACTCAGTTCCTATAAATGGAAGTACTTATTTAGTGCCACCTAATTTAATGACACTAAATGCTTATGTTCTTCCCAAAATCCTATATATTAGTGAGATGCTAATATAAACATCTACTTACSATTATCATTTCTGAAAAAAGGGAGGTGCCTCTTGGATTTGTTTCTTTGAGGTGTTTGCTTGGAACATTTTGGCAGAATGATGTTGTATCTGACTTGGGTCAATCTTGAATATCCTCCAGAGAGGACAGCAGCTGTGATAAACGAATGACAACTTGCATTAATCACATGCCCCAAAAGTCTTCTACAAACTGTGCATAAACCTACAGGTTTTGAACTGTTTCTTTGCTGCTGTTTTATCCTCAGGCATTAAGAGGAGGTACATGTAATGTCTTGTCAAACTAGTTATAGTTCTGATGTGCTTGAGGGTAGTTTGTACTTGAAGCTGATAGAATTTGCTCCTGAGACGGTGATTAGTTCAAGGCATTTTTTTCTAAAAGCTTTTTTCAAAGAAAAATAATTTTACCATGGTCATTTGTTCAAAGACTAACATATACAAGTATCACTTGGTTAGAAAAATAGCCATAGATCAAATGGCAATACAAAAGCTACTGGTAGGACTATAGYTTGAATTAACAGCTTGTTGGATGTGTGTTTGGGATGCTACACTATATATTTTGGAGATGTATGAATAGTATGCCGTACTAGAAATTACGTTGAAACACTGGACAGATTTGTTTACCAAAAGTGATAGCTTAATGATTATTTTGGGTAGTCTTGATTGAAAAAATGTCTTCTACTGTTCTTCCTTTGTTGCCCCTCCCCAATGCCCCCCGTCCATTATACTGGCATGTCTCTTTTTGGGGTTGTTATATGACAGTTTAATTGCTATCATTTATCAAGATTATTGTTACATTAAACGTTATTGGTTAAATAATGTAATGCAGTTCTGTGAATACATATAAATGTAGATGCATTCAGGCATAAGCGGCAGTTACTTCTGAAATCTTTTTTTTAAAGAAGATTTAGGTTTATGAATGAAATCTGACTTTATAAATTAGTTGCATGAATTTCATCTACTCAACTATTTCTTTCCTGTATTTTTATAGGATGCATTGCATATATATTTGTGCTAATTGAGACACAAGAATGTTCTAGTTAACATAGTGTGTATCAATTGTAATAGCTTTGTTTAGCTAAGTGTTTCAAAGGCATAGCAAAGCCTTGTAGTCCTACCTTGCTAGCTTACAAACCACCGTTCAAGGCAAATACATCATTTTTTTATTTTTTATTTTTTTGTTTTTTGCTTCAGAATCAACTTAGCCAGTGTAGTAGTGCGCTGGAGAGTTCTGAAGAACTACTAGAACTTGCTGCACAGTCACTGGACATAAAGGACCCTGTCGAATTCTCAAAGGTAGAAAATATTAAACTGATGTGCATAAGGCAGGCACTGATGCTTGTTTCAGTTTTACTAGCCTTTGCACTTCAGAGCCTGGCAGTATGTATTTATCAAGAAGAAGGATGGTGATGCATGTAAGAATATAGTTAAGTGTCTGCTGGATCTAAGAGTTACAGTCTTACCAGTTTTAAAGCAGCTTTTGTCAAACTGGTCTAAGTAGCTCTGCTCTTCAGGGAACTTTAAACCATTGTCAAGGTTAAATGTGACCGAGTATCCACAAAGTGCATGACTGAACTGAAGCTCAGTCTTTTTTTGTAGTTCAGTTACCACTAGGAGATTGCAGTAACATCCATGAGTACTACCTTACAGGCTTAATAATTCCGTCAGAAGTGTGAGATCAGTTTGGAAATTTCTGAAGTAGATAATTTCCAATTTTTGCCTATTGTAGAATTAAACCTGAGATAGGTACTGTATAGCACCTGCAGTGGGAAAACAGTTACAAGCTGCAGAGTTTATACTCAGCCACAATTTAAGTAGATTGCTATGCTAGCCTGTTTCAGTCTTCAGTTTACTTAAACACAGGTACACAGAACAATTTGAGACTTTGTGCAGAGCTGTGAGATTATACTTACTTTGCCCTTCATGGTAGATGATATATGTGTAGTATATTACATATGTATGTAGGGAAGAGGGAAAGTAGTTCCTTCTCCTGGGCAGCTAACAATCAGTGCTTAGTAAATCTGTGTTGATGTTAGGTAACCCAGAAGTAAAGGTGAAATAAGTCTGTGTAGTACAGAACCAAAACTTAGAATGTAAATGATCACTAGCCTGCAGAGCTTTGGCAAGTGGCCTGTCAGTTGCCCTAAACTGTTACGTGATACTTGCCAAATGTTTGTAGCCATCCATAAATGACAAGATGTGTTTGTTTTACAGAACTTTATTCAAGGTGTGGATCTTTAATTTATAACCTTGAACTCTGTCTTGTTCTGAAAAATCTTCTGAAACCAAACTCATTGCAGTTTTTCTATATTCCCCCAAAGCTAGCTATCCATATGTGCAATATGAAAATTAGACGCTGTTCAGGGCCTCGTACAAATAGTACATATGATGCAGCAACAGACTTGTAAATCAGAGAGAAAATGTGCCTTTTTGGAAGGAGTACTTACAAACTAATAAAATAGGTCTGGAGGTACTTTCCGTCAGTACAGTTAGTTCCTGTTTAGTGTAGCTTGCTATAATGAAATTTTTATTAGTAGCAGATTCAGCCACACCAATCCAAGACCTAATTACTTTTGCCTTTCTGCATTTTAACTAGGTCAAAGACACAAATTATTTCAAAATAATGCAAGAAAGCTGTCTTAGTGTGTGAATTATACTTTTTGGATAAAAGTTGGTCTGCTCTCTTGCTTGCTTCTTGAAATCCAACTTTGATTCATGTATTTGAAGAATGACAATTTCTAAACTAAGTGTTTTTCTTAGCACTTAAGTTTAAGTTATATTTTTTGGCTTATYCTAGTGTTGTATAATGACTGAATTAGCTCTTAAGCACTGTACAGCATGTTGCTCTGAATTCATTGTAAGTTGTTCCTTTTTAGGTCCTCCAATTATCTTTTTCAATCAAATATCTAAGGAAGGTTATTYTTGAATTCTTCTAATACTTTTTTAACATATAGAATTTCAGACTTAAGATAATAAAAATCAATTCTGTTAACTCCAGGACTTGAAACTTGCATTACACTAACTTGTGCTTRGAAATGTGTTTTGGTTGTATTTTGCATTTTAGGAAAATACAGCCTTGGCTGTTGGCTAGCTGCAGCTAACTTTAAACTAATAAAAATACCAATTATTGCTGCTAGGGAAACTCCATCCCCAATTTTAATTAGCTTCTGCAGTAGTTCAGTACAAGAGAAATCAGCATAAGACTAAACATTCTTTTCTTTGTCTCTTTTCTTAGACTTTTGGATGGCATAATTAGCTCATCTTGAAGTTGAAAGAACATGAATTCCAGCACAAGAGAGAGTGTAGTGGCTAGACAGGATGTAGTTTGACAGCTAAGGACAGCTCCTTAGCTGTCAAACTAAAATAGGCCTTGAAAACAATGGCCTRAAGTGGCCTTGGAAACGGGAAGTTCAAAGAGGTTAAATCAGGTCTGCTTTGCAGTTCTGGGCACAAAATACTCCACAAGATGTAGAAATTATGAAGGCTTTTGTTTGTAAGAGGAGTTTTCACTTTCTGAAGTGATGGCTACATTTTACAGCCATCATATAGAAACTACTAACAGATTCTCCTATGGTAGGTTTGTTTTATATTAAGACACTGCTAACTCTTAAGCTAAGCTTTTTTCCTAATCTTTTTTTTTCTGCATTGAGAGTGTATAATCGATTTCAGAGCAGAGGCAATTGTGATTTTTCCCTCAAATGTGCTTTGTAGCAAATAAAATATTTTGGAGTACTTTAAAAGGGATTTATTTATGKTTTTTTTAATTTTAAAATATTTTGGCTTTTTCTTTCTTTGAAGACAGAATAGTTCAATGGAGTGGCATTTTTTTATGAATATATATATATAGGCAAATGGAAAGACCTCTTTCCATAGGAAGCATTATCTGCTTAGCATTGTAACTTTCAAAGGAAACATGAAAACAGGTTACAAGTAATGCTTAGAAAGTAGAGTAATTTGGAATTGGTTTGGTGTGGCTCTTCAGATTTGTTAGCAGGTGACCSACTGTTCTAACTAATACCATTAACATGCTCTATGGGGAAAATTTGTTTTGATACAAATGTTAAATATGTTGTGATCTTCAAATCAGAGCAGCACAGTTTTGAGTATATTCAGTCTTGCATGTTACTGTCCCTGAGTCTTGCATGAAAACACTAACTACCTTCTCTCTCTTCTCCTGATGTGCATCAAGGCTGCCAGACAGATCAAAGATAGGTACAGTACAAAGTCTACCCTTTTTGTCTCTCTGGATTAATCTTGTTCTTGAAACTGCATTTATTTTTAAAGTGACACAGTCAATTTAAATTCATTCTGATTCTTTACTCCTTCTTAAATACTGTCTGACATTAAAACTTATGAAAGAAGAGRGAAAACTTCGATCCTTTTAACTTTCAGCTTTTTTCTTTGCTGACTTTGGGACTTTCATAACTTACTAAAAAAAAAAAAGTTAAATTACAGGTCTGAAAGAGCAAAATATAAAGTTTTCTAAGGAAACCTGACAACCGAAATGGAATAATATTTCAAGTTGACTGTATCCCTTTAAATTATGATGAAACCTTGGTCTTTTTTTAATACTTAAGATGGGCTTGTTCCTTTTAAATGTGACGTCTTGTAGCTTTTTCTTGTGACATCACTAGGAATGATGTTGAAATCACTGTCTCCGGTTGTTTTTCTTTCTTCCTTCAAAGTATTGCCCAGAAAGCTAAACTTGTAGTACTTCACAATAAATTGTAAGGCCATCTTTCCTCACTTGGAAAAACATTAATAATGCTCTCAGACTCCAGCCGTTCAACTCACAAAACATACATGTGCTGTGTAGTTGTTTGAGGCAGCCCATGAAGTGTTTTCAGCATTTGGTAGTCACTGACTAAATAAATTTACTTTCATTTACAGCAAATTTACAGTTAATCCATCTGTTTTTTTTWAAAAAAAAGTTTATTGCAAAATTTATAACTGCCCAAGAAATTAATCTTTGCTTTTTCATAGGTAGAGAACTAGTCCTCAGTAAATCATACCAGTAGTGATAGTTACTTTTCTGACATTTTGACTAGGAACAAGTATAGTCTTACTCCTGTCAGTTTGTTGTAATCTTCTGTAGTTTAATGCTGTTGAATTAGTTGTGGCTGGCACTGTGTAGATTCACTGGACCTAAGCAGAGGTTAGAAACTATACTTCTAAATGTTCTGTTTCTGTTAATCAAAGAATTACTCTCACTTGGAGACATTTTAGCTTTAGCAGTCCAGATGAACAGTACAGTTGGATAGACGGGCTGTACTGGGTTTCAGAAAGTCAACTTTATCTTGAGGAAATCATCCTGTTTTAATTCTGTCATCTTTTCAATTTCATAAATGTATCCTGTTTCCCAAAATGTTTATCATTCTTAGCATGCTCGTATTCTTGCTATCCAGCTGCCATATTCCATTCACCTTGTCTCTGCCTGAAATTTTGGTCTTTTCCATCATTCTTTAATATAGTTGTAGCTAACACACAATTGCTCATACTTACTAGTGAAGCTAGTCAGTGAAACTGAGGGATTTTTTGTGACTTACAGGAAGTGATGAGCATTAGATGTTCCAAATATGTCACGTATATGTAGGTGTGAAGTGTTTTTTTTTTTTTTTTTTTTTTTTTTTTTTTTTTGCAAATGACTTTATTGTGTGTGTATTGCTTTCCAACTGTCTTTTTAAAGCAGGGAGAGAGGACCTGTGTACTCTCTTAATTTTGCTGATGTGCAGCACGGCTTGGTGTCTTAAGAGACAAATTACATAAGAGACTTGCTTCCTTTTGGTTTGATCAGTCCATACACAATAGGGATGCTGTTTTAGAAGTCATCTTACATATACAAACGCACGCACACCCCCCTAAGTAGCATTTCAAAAGTTAAAATGGGAGTCATTAACTCTACCATGTTCCAGTGCCTCTTCTAAGACTAATTTAGTATTTGCGTGTACTGTAGAATGTGTCTACAACCCAGCATGCCAAATAAGGCAAAATGTGGATGTGAAATCAAAATATTCACCCTTTTAACCAATATTTTAAGTGCTCTCTGAGTAATACTTAAACACTTAAACTCTTCCCACTTGGATCTTGTCAAGTAGAAAGCTCTGTATATTTTGAATCTAAAGATTTTGCTCTAAAATTTTAGAGTATGTAGTTCTTCAGTACTCTAGTTCTTCGTGCTTTGTGATTTTGTGCATAATGTTAGTTCTTTGCTTTGTTTCACTCGGCGGGAGGGACAAAAATCTGGGAAGTTGAAAAGACAGGACTGAAAGTTTTTCTGCATTCCTTTCTAGTATCTTTGTCCTAGTAAGATAGAACCACTGGGAAATCACATCATATTTTTTTAGCAAAGCAGTCACATGAACAAAACTTCATGATTTGGAATATTTGCTAAACTCCAATTAATTGTAAAAATATGATAGTCTTTGATTGGAGAGCAGTGTTCTAGTTAACAGTTTGAAGTTAACGATACAGTCATCTAATTCCTGTCTTTGAAAGTTACTGCGGTACTTAATCCAAACTTCATTTTGCTAATGCTRTTTTCTTGACTTTAGAGTTACAATGGCTTCAGCATTCCGTATTTCCTTGAAACCAAAGGTCAGTGATAGTATGACTCATCTAACGGTGGACTTCTCCCTGGAAAGACGGATGTTGCAGGCTCTGAAGTTTTTGCCAGGTAAAGTTGTATGCAAAATATTTAATAACTATACAGCAAATTATTCAAGGGGCAACCACTCCTACTTCCCAGTGAGAAAACTACTTAGTTAAAAAGGCCTAAAACACAAGACTGTTTGTTACCAGTTTAATGGAAATAAACGTAATATTCCAGTATATATGTCTCTTCATTCAGATTTAAACCACTTTGCCCTTGACTCTTACCAAGAATAGCTTGGCAAGAATAGTCTTGGCAGGGATGTTAATCGTTCCAAATCTGTTAAAGACTTGGCAGTGTCCGCTTACACTKCTACTCGCTTACCTTCTGTAATGCAGATACAGTACGTGGTAACTGGTCTAATTAATTACCAGTGTTATTCCTAGTCATCAGCTAGCAGTATGTCCGGGCAAAAATTCTCATTCTATTCTTGGCCTCTGGATGGCAATCACAGTTYGGTGTTTTGCAGATAAAGGAACACGCTAAATAAGCTGATCAGTGCACCTCTTTTACACGAATATGAGTATGTGTTAAGATGTGACAGTAAGCATGAACAAAATCTGTTATCTAGATGAGGATATTCTTTAGWATGTCCCTTGTTAAACATCCGTTTCACTTATTAAAAGCTTAAAAAGTCTAGTAAATCATTAGAAAGTTATTTCAAAAAAATCTGGACTTTTCATTTGCAAACACAAAATCAACTGCCTGATATTAAACTTGATTCCTTTAAATATAGCTCTGAACTATTAAGTTTTTTTCCCAAGTCTTTAACATCTATCAGTTATGCTCAAGTTACTTGGCYCTGTGCTGGAAGATAGCTATGGAGAGCAGAATAACCCCCTATAATCTGAGTGGAAACAGTCAACAGCCTTCTACTCCGTTTGAACACCCACAAGTTTGTGAGGTTAGATGGAATCCACCCATGGTTCTGAGGGAACTGGCAGAATTGCTTGCCAAGCCTCTCTCCATCATCTATCAGTGGCCCTTGTTGACAGGGGAGGTCCCAGATGATGGGAGACTGCCAATGTGATGCCCATCTACAAGAAGGGTCAAATGAAAGATCTGGGGAATTACAGGCTTGTCAGCCTGACCTTGGTATCAGGRAAAGTTGTGGAGCAGATCATCATGAGGGCAACCCCACAGCATGTGTGTGACAACCAGGGGATCAAGCCCAGCCAAAAAGGGTTCATGAAAAACAGATCCTGCCTCAGCAACTTGATCTCCCTTCTGGTGGATGAGGGAAAGGCTCAGGATCACATGTGTTTGCACATATGTTCATATGTGCAAGTAYATACATATATGTTCAGAAACATTTGTCCTTAATGTTTCTTGTTTCAGAAGGGTTATTGATATTCTTACGTTATGATTGGGTGATTTTGAAATTTGATAAGATACAAAAGGTTTGTAATTAGGACTTGAACACTGCAGCACAAAACCAATCCAACTTGATAAGAAAGTACAAGTATAGGAAAATGTGGTATGAAAGTTAACTCTAGTGCTAATACATATTTCCTTCTCCTTTTTTGTTAGTTGTGTGTTAAGTGAAAGTGACATGCTCAGTCCTTTATCAGATTTTGCTAATGGAATATATCCCCTAAAAGGATTGTGTGATTGAGCTGAAGACAACTTCTAACTCTAATCCAGGGAGAGCCAATTAATATTCAGTCTATTTTCTTTGCTGCAGTCCCTAAAGCTCCGGAGATAGATCTTGCGGCATGTCTGGTTGCTGATAACTGTGTAACAGTAGCATGGAGAATGCCTGAAGAAGACAACAGAATTGATCACTTTATACTGGAGTACAGGAAAACTAACTTTGATGGTCTTCCTCGAGTAAAAGATGAACAGTGTTGGGAGCTAATAGACTACATTAAGGCTTCGGAGTACACGTTATCAGGTAAAGATCTTTTTGTATGTCAAAGCTAAATTCCAACTGTTTACAGTTGGAAGCTTTGTAAAAAGAAAAAGCTCGTTTCATACACTTAAAAAAGCTTTCATTGTTTCATGTCTTCAGTGCCTCATTTAATAAAAGGCTCTGCCACATGTTTTGTGTTTGAGGTTTTTATGTAAGGAAACATCTGGTTAATTAAGTTTATGCTGATTTATGTTTGCTTTATGCAGATTTACATAAGACAGCTATATGTAGTAGACTTCAATCTTATTGTGATTGYCCATGATTAATCTCAAGTTTCTAAACATGCACTTTTTTAGGTCTGAAATTTGATACAAAGTATATGAACTTTAGAGTACAAGCTTGCAACAAAGCTGTGGCAGGGGAATACTCTGAACCCGTGACTCTGGAGACCAAAGGTAAAATCTAAAAGGCTATGAACTGAGGTGTACCAAACCTTGTGCATAAATTTAGGCCTGTTTTCAGCTATGAGATTGTATATTAACGACTGTATTTCAACAGTGATTGGACAACCATTTTCCTAAAGGATTAGGAAAGSTATTGTTATAAAGCTCTATAAATGTTAGGTTCTTTTAGCATTCAGATACTAAAAAAGAGGCAGTGATGTAATTTTTTCCAAGAGAGCCTTATGGACATCATTTTGGACTGTGCATGTGAGATTATCTAACACTAGATCATGTTGAGAATATAGCAAGAGGAGATTAACTTTGTGACTGAGTGCCAGTTGGATGCTTATAGCATTTAAACAGTTGGCGTAGCTGGCTGTGATTGGTACTTACCATGTGACAGGTAAAAGCCTTCTGTAAATAGAAGGTGCTGAGAAGCATTTTTTAACGTGAGCTATAAATTCTGGTCACGATCASCATCTAAAAGATAAACAGCCTCACATTGTTCTGATTATAAAGCCATTGTGTTAAATCAGTCAATCCGAGAGTAGTGACTTCTGATATCCAGTTGCAAATAGGCTAGATGAAAAATACTGTGATGCTTGCTGCTCTTGAAGCAGAGCTGATGTTTTGTAAAAGCTTCTTAACTATTACAGTGATGGAGCTGATATTCCTCATGCTTTCATTGTGACAAGATAAAAGGGCATGGTGACTGCAAAGCATGAGAATTAAAACTTGAATTCTGTTTCTAGTAAATGCTGCTTTATTAGAAACAAAGCTGTATGAAATCTGCACGAGTTCATGTTTAATATTCTTAAGAAACAGGCAGTGGTATGTGATGTACAGAATTTGATCTTTCTATTCATTTCATTCATTTTTCAATGTTAGAAACAATAATAATTTGGATAATCTGTGTGGTTATGCCGCCCATGTTAACTTCAGTATGTGTGCACTTTGATACTGGATCCTGTTCACCTTCTTTAAAAACTGGCTTGTAAAAATATGTACTTGGCCCATGTACTTAATTACTTTTTTCAGACTTGCTTGTTGTTGAACTCCAAATTTACACAATATTTTTTTCAGCAGCAACCTGTAAAATTTGGTATTATGACACTTTATAAAATTGTCTGTAAAAGTCTTTAATTGACTGAGCTTAGTTTTAATGCAATAGATTATGGATTTGGCTGCATGTAAATATAAAGTGCTAGCTGCATGCATGCTCTAGTGTTTTAATACCTGCAGCCTGTTATCCAGTTAGGTCAGTGTCCATGCATGGACTATCTTGTCAATTTCATATTCTTCATGTGTAAAAATCATTATTAGTCATAAACACTTAAGGGAATTAGGGCTGTAGAGCATGGMAATGGTTTTATTGCTAGATTCATACAATTATGAATAGGCTGCAAATAGAAGAAAGCACTGGTTTAAGGGTTGTATTTAATAGGCTACAGGCTGAAGATAAATAGTTGGCCTTTGAGAGGTTCTTTACCTTGATTTTTAAGTATCAGACTAAAACTGAAATTTTATGAAGCTGCATAGTGCTGTGCTACAAGTTTTCCACTTTTTCTAGTTTGGTGGTTTTATTTATTTTTTATAAATACCCATCAAGAGAGGACAACGCTTAATCTTTTTACTGTCTCGTATGTTTTCTTGACCAGCATTTGTGTTCAATTTGGACAATACTTCATCTCATCTGAACTTGAAAGTTGAAGACACTTATGTTGAATGGGATCCTACTGGAGGTAAAGGCCAAGAAAAAACAAAAGGAAAGGAGAATAAAGGCAGGTAAGAATTCTGACTTGATTTGTGAAGATTTTTATTGCCTGAAATGGCTTACCTGACAGTTAAGGGAGAACAATGGAAAATGGAAGCAATTTCACTTCTTTGGATACTCATATGACTGGGAGAACAGTGGAACACTTAAAGTTTGACTCAGTGATYGTTTGCAGAGACTATTCATTACAGGAGAGGAGATAAAAAGGATGAGGACTTCAAGAAGCTTATTGTGGCATCAATTCTAAATGTTTTTTATTCATTAAGAGGAATTTATATCTTCAAAATAGCTTTGCTAGAGTATTCGAAAGGAAGTTGTTTGAATTTCTCAGAGCTGTCATGGACAAGATAGCATAAAAAGAAACAGCACCAGATACTGATAATAGAACCTAACTCCTCTAAAATTTAAAAGCTTAAAAACATTTTCAAAGTATTTTTATCTAGGAAATACTTCAGTAGCTTCAGTAAAGTTCTTGGATTATTTCTTGAGCGTCAGGCACTAATATTGTTCAGAATTACATGATAATTAGAGTTGGAAGGACCTTTGAAATTAATCTGCTCGAAGCAGGGCCAGCTCTAACCTTTGTTTAGTTGAACATTGAACATCTTCAAGGATGGAAAAATCTAAAAAAAACTGGGCTCTTCTGTTGGGGAAGAGAGGAACACCCAATTTCTTGCTCCAGTAATATAGTTTCCCTTTAGTCCTGGAGAGAGCCCAGAGCTGGAGACAGGATTCCAAACCCAGTGTGATGAGGGCCAAAATGAGAGAACTTCTCAGTTCAGAGAGGCTTCAGAATGAGGCTTCTGTGGACCTCATGGTCCACCTCACAGCCTGACCTCATGGTTGCAGCCCAGTGTGTGCCTGGTGTTGCCCTCACAGGACACGCTGCASTTGCTGTGGCTGCTGGGCTGGCCTCACACTGCTCGTCGGCAGCGCTGTGCTTCTTTCAGGCCTCCCAGCCTCTGCTCCTGCTCAGTGCCTGCAGAGCAGGAGGAGGCTTTGTCCATGTGGCCCTTGTGAGGTTCTGAGCAGCCAGTTGCTGCGGCCTGTGGAGGTGCCACTGAAGAGCAGTCCTGCCCTCCAGCCTGTTGCCTGTCTCCCTGGATTTGGTCTGGTCTGGTCCCCCAAATAGTGAGAGTGTTGTCCTTGTCATCCTGCAGATTGCTGTTAAAGCCATGAGCCAAAGTTGAACAATACTGCTCACTGCTGAAATGCCAGGAGTGACCAACAAGTGTCCAAGCTCTGAGCTTGGACAAGGGTGAACCCCGTGGAGCTAGTTCTGTGCACAATACGTGGTCCAGTTGTCCAGTGTGGACCACAGGATGAATGACTTTTTCCCTCAAAGACAAATTAGTTGACAAATTAGCAAGCATCACTTGCTTGCTCTTAAGTTTCTGGTTGATCCTTTCCAGGCAGCATGGAGTGGCATCATTTATGTATGCATTAGTTCCCCAACTACTATGTAACTGCAGGAGGCACAGTAGAAAAATCTTAGAGGCATCTTAGGACTGGGTACAATGTACTATATCTGATAGAACCATTGTTTAATAACTGCTTATTTCTGTCTGACAGTGGCCAGAATCCTGTACTGAAGAGCAGTAAAAGGTGATAACATACCTCCTGTTCCTAGGACCCAGCTTCTAGTTTTGCTGCAATATTCAGGGCTTTCCCTTTGTTTCTACGTCTTTTTAGATCAAGCAATCTAATAGCCTTTGTCAGTGACTAGGCAGTACATATGCACTTCTAAAGCACTTTGGAAATTTAGTTTGGAATCATGCAGATGTCTGTTTTTCAGTGAGTAGAAGACAATGYTCCTGGAAGGATATTTCCTCATTTGCAGTAAGAGTAAGCTATACTCAAGTCTCAGTACAAAGATGGCTGTTACTTATCGATCTTTGAGACTTAGACCTTCTGGCACACAATGACACACTAGATTTTTCACACATGCAGTTAAGAGTATTTCTGTGGCTTTAATTTTTTTATGTATTTTTGATTCAAATACTTCTTGCCACTGAAATCTTGCTGTATCCTTAGAGATAAAATATCAGCTAGCATGGAGTTTCAGTTTCAAAGAGGCTGAACTGAGTTACTGACTCAGCTGTTCAAAACAGGAAATTACATTTTCAGTACATAAAATCAGTTAAAATGTTTAACTGCTCTTCCTATGCAATTATTTATATTTTTTCATAACTTTTTTTCTAAAAATTGTTTCTATTTATTTCTCTTTTTTTTTCTGTAGAATCATTGATTTAGAAGGTGTAGAACCAAACCCAAATGCGTGGGTTATTAATTTCTCATAGGCTTTATTTGTATTCATACAAATGTATTTTGTATGAGTCATTTTTGTGAGAGATCAATAGTAATGAATTGTTCGTGTAGGGAAAACCAGCTCTTGAACTAAGGCACTGCACATCTGCTTCAGGAAGCATAATCACTTCTGCTAAATTCATTTAAAAATGTCTTGTATATCACTGTGCTCTGCAAACTCAAAGTCTTAAAAATTATTTCTTGCAGTATTTGTCAGTAAAGACATTTTCTGGTTATGGCCTTAGCTTCTGTAGAATACTGTTCAACTTTGCATGTCAGGCTGACCTTTTCTAGAAGGAGTTTTAGATGAGCTTTCATCCTTGCAGGAGGCTTCTGTTTCCTCTAAGATTGTCCCTGCAAATATTTTCCCTGGGAGGGAAAACTTGGAGCCAGGTCCATGCTTGATGAAAAGGTGTGTAATTTTGTAGTATAATTTTGTAGGTTAAACATCAAGTGTGTGACTTTCAAAGCCTGGGAAGACCCTGATGAGCATAAGACACTAAACTAACTTTTAACAGATTTAATACACTGAAATAAAAAAAACTCTAGATAACTTTTAAGTACTCGTTATTTTGCTTTCTTCTCTGAAAGACAATTCATATTGTTTAAAATGTACGCTCTTATCTGAAATGAATAAGGCAATTACAACTTAGGACATCTACAGCCATACTGTAGATAATAATCCTAATGATAAGACTCAAATGTTTTTCACCGAAGAGTGGAAGAAACAAATACATTGACTATATTAGGAAATTATCACAAAACTGACTTCTGTGAAATATATTGTCTTTTTCCTTTGAAAGAGACTTTATCATTGAAAACCACAGTTTTCATACTTTTATGCCAAATGCTAACTGTTACTGTCCAAACTGWTAAAGGCTGTTAGATTTGAGTAGAGCGAGCTTGCTCATGGCCATTTACAGATGATTTGAACAAAAAAAACGTTGTTGAAGACCTACCAGTTCATGTCTTCCTAATGTTGTGGAAAATGTAGCACAGCAACTGCTTTTTCTTTTTTTTCTTAAGATGTTTCTCTAAATGGCCAGACTGCTTTTTGAATTAACTCATTTTTACTTGATCTAAAAGGAAGGGTTTTTTTGTGGGTTTTTTTTTTTTTTTTTTTTTTTTATGAGAATGCAACTGAATGGTGGTGGCACATTTAAAGTAGGGTGGAATCTTCCATGAGTGTTTTCTTGCTTAATTTATGCTTTAATTCTTGGCGGTACTGTTTTTCTTTCATGCAATCGCTTGCTGCTTTTACTTTTGGTAAGTAAACTGCGTTTTTCACCATTAACACAATTGAAAAGAATTTGATGTGGTCTACACTGCTGCATAGTATACTCTTACTTTTTCCATGTAATTCTTGAAAATCAATTTAGAAACTTACATGACTTCTGATCAATATTGTCAAATTTATATACTAAATTGGGTAGGTTAAGGTAGACAACCATATTCTATGCAGTTTGAGAACAGTGATTTGTTGTAGGTTTATGTAACTGTGATAAAAGAAATTTAATCATGTAGTTGGAAYCAGAGATTCTATAATGTTTCTGCATGAAAATTTTATGCTGCTCAGGTTTTGATTTTTCTGTGTTATTTTGTGGTTATATTGGGCAAAAGGCCCCAAATGTCTCTTCATGAAATACTAGTTGAAAACAATTCTAGAAAGTTTGAAATCATGTCCAGTGATTCTAAAGGCAGCAAGTTAAACTTCACCCAACAGTCTTGGGCATGTGAGTTAGTGACTCTGCCCATTTCTACTTCTAACATTATAGTAATATCATGAAATTCAAGAAAAGTTGGAGAAAAAGCATTCTTTTTGTAGGAGCACTTCAAAGCTAATGCGTGAGAAGCTACAAGCAATGGATATTTAAAAATGACAGTGTAGTTCTGCATGATATTTGCTTCATATTGTTCAGAATTTGTTAATGAAATCTGTCTGTAGACTGTATAGTCACCTCTGAGAAGTTAAAATTTGTTACTGCCTTTAAGAACAAAAACATGAGATCTTTCCCTGTCTCCAGACTTTTAACATTTCCTATAGTCAGCCTATAGGTTTTTAAGTTTTATTTMATGATTAAATTGCTAGGAGGTTTTTTTCTTTTGAGGCCATAACCCAAGTCAAAAAAAAATGTTTAAACTCATAACTTTAAAATGGTTCTGTTATACAAGTGATTCCTTATTAGACTGTTTTCCAGAGCAAAGTGTTTCTTCATTTATTTTGCTATTCCTTRCATCTTTGGAAAGTATGATTAGAAGATGTAAGCCTTTCTTGATGTGAATTAGATACTTAAATTTGATAACTGCTCTTTTTGAAAGTCTTCACTATTTAAGCTGCATTTTTTTCTGGGATTTCATTCARTGTTTATATAAACCCTGCACACCGACCTTGAACGTATAAGTGGAGTTTTCCTCATTCCTCGATACTGAAAGTTCTTGGCTGCCTATGCACTGAGTAGTGAAGTCATACTTGTATGATTCTTAAGCAAAAGAAGTCACCTGAATTCCCTAGTTTCTTAAGTTTTGTACAGACATATATTCAGACTGTGCCACGCATCTGCTTTTTTTTCTGCTTTTTTCARTTCTTAACTGCTTATGGGCTTGTTTCACCACAATGCCTAGCATCTTTTCTAGCTCTTATCTCTTCCTTCTCCATTCTCCTTGTGCATGTGTACTAGCTCATTACCGCTAGGTGTTACGTGSGGCTAATAGCTGTTATTTCAATATTTTTTTGTGTATGTCTATTGCAACTTAATTGACTCTCGTTTGGGAAAACTTGTTTAGTTTGCATTTCTGTAATAGCCTGCAAATCTTGCATGTTATTTCCTCCTTAGAAGTGGTACACCATCTCCAAAGAGGACATCTTTTAGCCCAAGATCCTTAACAAGGGGAAGCAGAGATCGTTTCACTGGTGAATCATACACAGTGTTGGGTAAGGTGAACTTCTCACTTTGAGCAGGTGTGTAGGGCAGCTTGGGTAGGAGTCTGAACGAAAACCTGAGTTCATTCGAGGCTGTGAACCTGATGGTGCTCTGCATAGAAGTATTGATGCCAATGCAACGCTAGAATATCCTTCCTCAGCATATGTCTTCGCATCTTTAAGATCGTTGTAATAAGACTCTTAGTGTCTGACACTCACTGCTATAGAATGTGGGTTCATGTTAAGTARAACTTTTCTGTGGATGTGACAAAATACTATCTTTGTATTCTACTTTACAAGGACATCATCTTATTCACTTATAAATAAACGAATAGCTAAACAAAAGAAATGTAACTTAAAAGTCTCCTAGTTGAAATGAAACTAGAAGACCTCAGGTATCTTTAAGGAAACGAGCACTTAAGATATATCTAATTATCATAGCTAAAAAGCTTTTTTTTTTTTTTTTTTTTTTTTTTTTGGTAGGAGACACTGCTATTGAAAGTGGACAGCATTACTGGGAGGTTAGAGCCCAGAAGGACTGCAAATCCTACAGCGTGGGAGTAGCATATAAAAACCTGGGAAAATTTGACCAGCTGGGAAAGACTAATTCAAGCTGGTGCATCCATATCAACAACTGGCTGCAAACCACGTTTTCTGCAAAACATAATAATAAAGCCAGAACTTTAGATATACCTGYTCCAGACAGAATAGGAGTGTACTGTGACTTTGATGGAGGTAAATTATGACTTTATGAAATCTAAGTAAAAGGTTACTAAAATTACCAAGTTAAAGCAATACTAGTCTATAAATAGCCTGTAAGTATATTAATATTGCTTCTTGACTGATAGTCTCTTKCAAAAGTAAGGGACTGAGCACTCTGTAATATTGCACGTAGTGTGAACTGATGCTAGACTTGTGTGATAAACCCTCTAACTGAAATGTTTTCAGTAGTGGTTGTTGATAAGATAAACATAAGAAATGTTTCAGTGTGGGTGTTGATAAGATCTGTACTTAATGGATTCTAGAGAATTAACGCTGGAGAAGGATCATTCTTGGATATTCTTACTGGGCTTTAACTTTTTTTTTTTCCTTCTTCTTCTCCTCTTTTAGGTCAACTCACATTTTATAATGCAAACTCAAAGCAACTGTTATATACATTCAGAACAAAATTTACTCAACCATTGCTACCAGGCTTCATGGTCAGTATCTGAATTTTTCGAATTTATAGCACTGAATTCTCTACAAAATACARTTACTAAGTTTCAGTAAAGGAGGAAAATGGGAATACAGTTTGATTAAAATTATATAAATGGTTCTTGATTATTTCTTCTTGATTATTTCTTCTTCACATGGTACGTTTAACAGCCCTTCTCTTCAACAGGGGGTCCTCCCCACCTATATGTCTCTCCTGTCAGTAAAATATCATGAAGGCCTTCTAGATTAAGTTGTATGTTCTGATTGCTGATGAGTTCTGGTACAGTAATTGACCCAAACTGATGAAGCTAGGAGTCCGAGATGCATGAAAGCTGCCAGAGCTGTTGTCATGATCAGATGCTAGATTAGTGTTTCCCTATGATATAGAAGGTTCTAGCTTTCAGGCCTGAAAAGCTCCATGGGATTTTGTTTGTCAGTCATTTCACTAGTTTGCATAATTTTTTTTTTGTTTGTTTGTTTGTTTTTTTTTTTGTCTCTAAGCAGTGGAAACATGCTGCTATTCTAAAGACTCAAACCATGCAAAAAATTATGAGAAAAGGAATCCTTATATATTTCTTTATTGATACAATTTAGTGATAAGTAACTGAAGTTAGAGGCCTTAGTTCTATAGTCCCAAATAYGTGAATTGTGCTGTGCTAGCAGGCTCTAGTTCTGAAAACTTACTGATGTGAAGGAGGCCAACATGCTAGTTGTCCTAGTTCATGCTAGCAACTCGGCTGCATAGGCACGGAACAGCTTTATTTATTTATTTGTAATCTTAGTTCATAAAAAACACAGCATGATAGTTTGTAACTGTGGCAGAGCCAGTTTATATGGTATCCAGGAAGAATAGTAAGGAAGTAACTTGCCAAGGTAGTGTCAAATCTGACGTTCAAACACCTTGCATTTTTGGATATATCACAAATGTCTTACATTTTGCCTAGATACACATCTAGACAGTATGTCTAGATTTTAGTAGCTATTTATTTGAAGATCACTAAGGCCACTAAGCAATTTGCCTTATGAATATATATATATATATATATTTCAAAATACTGAGAACAGATTAGCTTCCGAACAGTTGAGCATATATCTTAGCCATCTATCTGGCATTTAAATGCATGTAACAACAAGGCGGACTCACTAGTCTGTTCCCCAGGCATTCAGGGAAACACAGTTCAGCTTGCTGCCTACATCTTATACTGAATGTAGTTTGTTACTTATTAATTAACTTATTTAATGTAAATATAGCAGCATTCACGTACACACACTGCTTATTTTAGCATGAATACTTTTAAAATAAAACATATACAGCACCCATTCCAGTATATCCATAAATATGGAGTGTTTTTTTTTAAAGTCTTTCTAAGGTGTAGAATAGAGATCACTTGCACCAGTGTACCTGAAGCATCTCATCTTAATTTTTCATATTAATTTTCATCTCATCTTTTTCATCTCATCTTTTTCAAATTAATTTTCATCTCATCTTATTTTTTCATAGTTCCATCAGTTCATACTAGAATTAAGCACTGGCTTTCTAACATACGAGTTTTGCTTTTAAATATTAGTCTAAGTAGTTAACACTTGCAAATCTTGGAGAAGAAGCAAGTCTTGTTGTGTTAGCTCTTAGAGATAGTTGCAAGAATAGATATAAACTAGGTTCAAGCATTTTGGACTTAAGATTTTGCATAAAATTCTAGCCATGTTGAAGCTAATGCTGTGATTGGAGAGCAAGAGAGAAATAACCTATTGCAGGATAGGTTATGTTTTAATGCTGCTGGATGGGGGCAGAGAAAGAGGTGTAAGTATCTTCAGTTTCACTTCTTTAATGACTTTTTTTTTCCTCCTTCATTTTTTTTCTCCTTCCCTAGGTCTGGTGTGGTGGACTTATATTGAGTACAGGACTGCAGGTGCCAAGTGCTGTGAAAACTCTSCAGAAAAGTGAAAATGGATTGAGTGGTTCTGTTGGCAGTCTAAACAATGTTACCCAATAACCTGTCCATTCAAACAGTTTTATTGCTGATTGTTTTTTCTGTATAGTTGCTACTCACGGAAGCTTGTGAGGCTTGGATTAACCTGCCTTTGCTACCCACTGCTGTTTTAAGACCTGGGTACGGCTAGTGCAAATGTTTTGGACTAAAGTGTTAGGAAGAAGCTGCTGTGAATCCATGGAGCCAAACAGAAAAACACTGTTATTTATTTGGAAAGCAGATGGGGAAATCAAGAAGTGTAGCTATGTACTTTTCTAATACTGCACTTGTATTTTGTTATGGACTTGGAATATTCATTGTGTTATAAATTTTATTTTTCTATGAGGAATATGACAAATGCTATTTTCTTAGCTGTCCTAATATGCAACATCTGACAGTTTTTATTGTTACTGAGCTTCCACATAGAATTTGATATGACAAACACATTTCAGAAGAATACATTCATGTAAGAGGTTGTAGGCCAGCCATGAGTAAAGAATCTGACAAATCTGTGCTGATAAAGATTGTTTCCCATAAATCACTTACGTGTCATATTTGAAGATTGAGTACAGCTCACGTTTATCACAATTTATAGAAAATACGAACATGTGAAGACATTTAAATACATTTTTGCCATCCACAGAGGTGTAAAATAGCCAACTATTGAGCTAAGTAGCACTTTACATATGAGAATCAGAAGCAAAAATAAGGATTTTTAAAGCCACAGCATTGTTTCTGAAGTGTTCTTAGYATTGAGCCATCAGTATTGATCAGACCATTTCAGAAAGGAAGGACAAGTTGAGCCACTAGTCCTCGTCTGTCTGTAGCAAAACTGCATCACAGCCGAGACAGGGACCAGAGGTGAGAGTGTGAGCTCGAATGCAGTCCCCCGGGCAGGAGGGGAAGCTCTTGCTCAAGTTTCTTCTGGCTTTTACTGGAGCACCTCCAAGGCTGGTTAAGACTTCTCAAAGAGCTCTCAGTATCATAGTCTGTCCTGAGCCGAGGTAGCCTCTGAGCTCCTGGTGGTGATGGATGTGATCTCAGCCCCAGGAGACCCTTGAGGAATCCATGTCCTGGCTAGCCCAGCAACCAAAGACCCACCCAAATTTGTGTGATTTATTCATAAAAGCAGTTTATCTATAGCATTCCACTCTTAACATACTGTTTTGTAGCATGTGCTATGTATGTGTGGACTTCTGAGACTGGCCTTTACAGGACTCTCTGCYTAGGGCAAGTGGAAAGTCTGAATTGGCCAAGGAAGCGCTTCACAAACTAACATCAGATTTGCCCTTGGAACTCCTCTTTTGAATCACGTGAAATGGAGTATGAGTGTTTTGTCATCTCAATTCTTAATGGAAGCTTGTTAGTAATAATAGTCAAATAATTAATGGGGAAGCTAAAAAAGACAAAAGATAGCATGTTATTCTTTGTGGAAGGTCCTAAAGCTTTTCAGTTAGAATTACATGTGCTTTTCTACTGCTTAAGTCTGTTGTCTTTCCTCTAATCAAGTTAAGAACACTAGAAATTTTCAGATCTATGTTTGAATTAATGGTGTTTCCTTATTGAAGATTTTTCACTCACCTGTTTCAAATTCATACCGATAATGTCTAGTGAACCAACTTCTTTTCTGTAGGGCCAAAGTATTATTTGCTCTGTAAATCTTTTCATCCATAAAAACATGGCCTTTCTGTTGATGTTAATACTTGTTAACATCAGTGGGTCCTTTTCGTCTATCAAAACCTCCTAAGAAGAGAACTTGCTTGTAAGAAACTGGTAGTATTCAGTGGAAAAGCAAATTTGAGTCTTAATTTCAGTACTTGCTTCAGAAAGTTTTGTTCTTGAGAAATTTTGAGTTTGGCAGTAAGGTTGAGCCCTTAATGTTCATTTTGTACGTCAAACTTGAACATCACTAAAAAAATTCATTATGAGCAAAACTAGCTGTAATCTCATTATTTTCAGAGGAAAGCTTAAAAGCAATTACAGTTGAGCTGCACCCTCCTTGGTCAATTGAGTGCTCTCAGCCTTGAAATGTAAAGGTACTGAAAGGTGACATGGTTGTTAAATGAACAGCATCTGAATCTGTTTATCACAAGTACTGCTATCTGTAGATAAATAACTGTGARTGAACTGCAACACTATGTAAGAGAATTTAAATTAACAACTTGTTTTAGGAARATGTAGTGAAACCTGCAAGGTAAATCTGATTATACACAAAGTGTATTTTTTTTCTAAACACTGTTAGAGTAGTATAGTCTGAAAGAACCTTGAAGTATTTCATGCTGTTATTTGATTCCCAAGGTTTTGTTTAACTGATATCCTAGGTGGACTTAATGTGTGACTTAAAGGTTGAATTTATTATATAATAGTTTGCACAGATGTCAAGTCTTTTGCTGCTAATGGCTAGTCCCATTATTTCTAGTAAAGGGGATATACATAAGAATTGCCTTAAGCACTTTAGGKTTTTTTTTAGACTTTTTGAACAAGTATCTCTTTCAAATTAAGAACCGATGTATTAGTGATGCTTTTTAGCATTTGACACTGTTTGTAGGAAGTAAACAGGGGGGAAAAAAAAAAAAAAAAGTACTTGTGCAGCTGCAGAGCAAGCTCCGGAGAGCGACGCTGGCGGCTCGCGCAGTTACTGTTCTGGGGATAGCGCCAGGGCACCGGCGCGGTGCTCCTGCAGCCGCTACGCGCCTCTGCTCTTGTAAATACCCCGCTCTGCTACTCTCAGCTCAAACACTGGTAACTAATCAGGACTTTTCTGCTCTATTACCAAAACAAGAGTTTTTATTAATGCTACTTAGCAAACCGGTTATTACTATTCTAATTGTCAGAATTATGTTACGATATAACTGATTGTAAGGAACTGTTTTTCTCTTGAGTCCTTGTTTTAGTGAACTCTGACTTTCATTGAACTCCAACAGGGAACGCTATTTTTTGAAGAGATTGCTCAAAAGCACCAGATCAGAGTTATTCAAACGCTGAAAGGTGCAGGACGGAGGCTGSCGGTTCTTCCTTCAGCCATCCCCTAAGGAAGGAGTAGGAGGCCATTTACACTGTACAGTTCCCTGCTGCCTTCCTCACTCCCAACCCTATCCTTGTTCCCTAAGACAGACTGGGGAAACTAACTGGTTCCCTCAGGGAAAGCATCCTTGAAACACTTTGTTTTTGTAAGCATCGTAGTTAAGAATAGTAGATAGAGCCTGGTAGGCGTTTTCATGGGGATTTAAACTTTTTTTTTCCTGTAATCCTGCTTCCCGCTGCGCCAACTTGCTTTGAAAAGAAGAGGAGACCTGGCACGGGGCATCTCTCTCCTCGGGCGCTCCGGAGGAGCCTTCGGTTTGTTCTGCCCCTGCACCCTGCGCAGGCGGTGCTGCCACCTTGCACGAGACGCAGCCCCTTTGTATTAATAAACAGCTCTGAAAGCCACGCCGTGCTGTGCGCCGCTTTGTTGCGTTGTTGGTCTGTGTTTCCCCACCGCGCTGTTGCCCTTGGTCCCTGGGCCTGCTTTATAGGCAGAGCGGGGGTGGGAAAGACACGCGCCGCCCGCGAGCGAAACGCAGGCTGGCCGCGGCGTCGCGCATGCGCGCGGGGCGCCCCTGGAGCTGCAGCGCAGGCGGCGCCGCGCGGCTCGGCGCGGTTCACTTCGTGGCGGAACCACTCGGCTAGGTTCGGCGCTGCTCGGCTCAGCTCGGAGTCGCTCGGCTGAGTTCGGTGCGGCTCGGCTCGGAGTCACTCGGCTGGGTTCGGCGCGGCTCGGCTCGCCGTCGCTCAGTTCGGCTCGGAGCCGCTGCCTGCCGTTCGGCTCCGCTCGCTGGGCTCCCTGCCGTTCGGGTGTGCTCGGCGTCGCTAGACTCGGCTGAGCTCGGAGCCGCTCGGCTCGGCTCGGAGTCGCTCGGCGCCGCTCGGCTGTGCTCGACGCCGGTCAGCTGGGCTCGGCGGAGCTCGGCACCACTCGGCTGGGCTCGGCGTCGCTCGGTTGGGCTCGGCGCCGCTCGGCTCGGCGCCGCTCGGCG